TGTGTCTGTGTGTGTGTGTCTGTGTGTCTGTGTGTGTGTGTCTGTGTTTGTGTGTCTGTGTGTGTGTCTGTGTGTCTGTGTGTCTGTGTGTGTCTGTGTGTGTGTGTCTGTGTGTGTCTGTGTGTGTGTGTGTCTCTGTGTGTGTGTGTCTGTGTGTGTGTGTGTGTCTGTGTCTGTGTGTGTGTGTGTGTGTGTCTGTGTGTGTGTGTGTGTGTGTGTGTCTGTGTTTTCATGGTCTTTGTGCTGTTTCAGAAGCTGGGCTCACTTCTCAGGAGCTGGCAGCAGAACTTGCTCAGTTTGGAAGTGGGACAGAAGCAACTTCTAAAGTGCCCAGTGTATTGAACTGGAGGAAAAAATTGGTTTCTCCTTCCCAGGTGAAATAATGATCTATCATAACAAGAAGTTTTGTTATAGAATTCTGTGTCAGCACAAAGGATTTTAATATTTTTTTTTAATAGAACTTGCGAAGTTTTTGGTAACACTAACCAAAGAAGGGAAAGACCTGCACAACAAGAACTTTAAGTCTTTGGAGAAAGAAATTGCAGAAGATGTCAGAAAACAGAATTTGAGAAGGGGTGGTGTGATCAAATGCAGTTGCAAAAAACAGATTTGTGTGCTCTTTCAAACGCCAAACAGGAACCCTACGTTTGATAACTACGTCTAGGCAAATATGGAAAAACACCATGTGATTCAACTGTTTATTTCCTTTGATCCAAATGATTGAATTCTAGAAGATTGTGAACCGGATAGCCGGCAAACAGCACTCTTCAGTGATTTGGTTAGCTCGGGTGTGCGGGCCTCCAAGTCAGGTGAGTTCTTTTTCTTTCTTTTTTTGATCTTTTGAGTTTCTCTGGGTAGCTCTGGCTGTCCCGGAAATTGCTCTGTAGACCAGGCTGGCCTCAAACTCAGAGCTCCACCTGCTTCTGCCTCCCAAGGGCTGGGATTAAAGGCGTGCACCCCCACTGCCCGGTTCAGGAGATTCCTTCGCATTTCAGCTGTTATGCAAACACGAAACACTTAGGGCGGAAAGTCCCAGTTCTAAGATCCATGCTGAGGCTACTGAAAATTTCTGAGGTTTGGAAAACAATACAACAATCGATCAAGCCAACCCCCCCCCCCCCACCATTAGTTCCAAAATTTGAAAATGCTATGTGATCAGTAGGAATGTAGAAAGACCAACAGTGTTTGGTTTTCTTGTGTCAGCTGACTTGGGATTGATTCAGTTCGAGTCCTGTCATCAGTGACATTTATGTGGCAGTCAGCATAGATTGCTGGTGTCTTTTACTGCTTGGAAATAAGTACAGAAGGGGGTTCTAATGGGAGAATTCTTGGGTGTCTAAGGTTCTTAAGTAGCCTTATTTGGCAAATGAAACAGCTTTATAAAACCTTGAATGACCAGATCTCCCTGTTCGGCAGGAGGCATCTCTTTGTCATTGGATGTGAAGCCGAGGACCAGCAGTGGCCTCATGCCTCATGGTCTTTCCCCTTTTCATTCTGTCGCCTACATTTCACGCGACACATTTTTAGAGTTCAGACATAGTGCCTGTCCCTTCCCACTTCCTCATCCAGGATTTTGCCTCTGAAACTAACGTGATGGACAGAAGGCGCCAACATTGATACTGACCCTGTAGCCACCTTCACAAAAGCATTCTTGGTCATTCTTTTTCACCTCACTCACTGCTTTCAGAAGTCTATTCCAGTGTATGCCAGCTAACAGACATCACCATAGGAACACAACTGAATCAGCCTTCTTCGACTTTTAAGCTCCCAGAAATTCTGTCTGTTGACACACCAGAGTTCACAAGACCATGCTCCAGCTCTAGGATTAGACCCAGCTCTACAGAGATTGAGGTGGAGGCTTGCTTGTCTTTGAACTGGAGTCCCCAGCTGTGCTCCAGTAGATATAGCTCCTGGCCTGCCCTCCTCTCTAATCCCCCTGGCCTTGCTTTAATGATCAACCCTGACCAGTGACTGTTTGGAGACGAAAATGGGGAGCCCAACTGCTGTTTGGGCTGCATCAAGGTCGAGCTTAAAACTGAGTTATTAGTCAGGACAGGGGAAAAAACAGTGAGGATGATGTGGTTCTATCTGAGTTCTTTCTAGAATCCTTGAACTATACCTATAGCACTATGCGAGAGTAAGAGATGAACAGAAAACAAAACCACACACACATCAAAAAAAAGGAAAAAGTGGGAGAGGTGATGAATAAAAACAGCCTTCAAAGAATAGAATAAAAGAACCTTTGCCATTTCCAAAGATTAGGTTTTTAAGTCTATGGCAGCTTTAAGTTTAGTTGTCAAGTAGCAAAATTGCTCTAAAGAACACGGAAGCAAACATGGCAGAGAAAGAAGCTGCTAATGCGTGGGGAAGAGGTTTGGATTAAAATAAAACGTGTTAGGGGTGTCTTGAAAACTTTACTTCCTTGAGACTTCATTGCTACTATCCAAAACCAATTACGTGACATTTGCAGACAAAGCATTTAGGGTGTATGGTGCATCCATTTGGGGTTCTTATCCTTAGTTTATATGCACAGGCATCTTTGATCTTCTTCTCCCCACTGAATGTTAAAAATGGCACGTTCTCCTCAGTATGGAGGACTGTATGCCTCTGTTTGGGCAGCTGCCGAGTGACTCTGGAGAGAACCTGGCATGTTTACCCGTATGAAGGAGGTAGACATCGAATCGGTGGGTATACATGTCACGGAGCTTGAGCAGGGATTTGCAGGCGAGCCACATCCCGTAAAGAAAGTTGATAGGATTCCTATTCCTCCTAGGCAAGTCTCAAGCTACTGATCCAACTTGCTTTGGACCCCAGCAGAACCACGATGCTCTGCATATTTAAATTTGATTTTGGATCTGCACCGAGCTAATCCCCTCGGCACCCCGGTGAGTCTGATAATTACTCATTTCAGTCCATTCCCAAGAGTGTCTTTCCTGCCTAAGTGTGAGTGTCAGCCTCTTAGTAAAAGGGGTAGCACGGGTTTAAGAAAAAGGAAAACTTAAGCCTCCAGCATGTACAGTCTTTAGATATTGAAGCATTTCCCCCATAGCTCCCCATATCTCCTATCCTACAAAACAAATCCCACCGTAGATTCGCCTGGATTCCTGGAAGGTAAAATTGCACACTCGTTTCTGACTCATAACAAAGGAAGAAGTAACCATGGGGCAAGCTCACAGAGGATCTTCCTGCAACAAGGTCCTGAATAAAATAATTTTTCCATCCTTCTGGTTTTGCTTGTGCACATACAGATTTCATGCCATCATGTTTCCAAACCTTTAATGATTTCAAACAGTGGTTGAGAGTTTGGAAAACAGTATGGGCTCATATGCAAATATGGAGGTTGTACCAGACATTAAGGCATTTTTTTTTTTTAAGAGACACCATGTTCAGCCGGGGTCTTTAAGGGCCTTCATTTTGCTGTCTTCTGTTTCCATCTTTACCCATTATCTTTCAATAATGTTACCGTATTCCTCTGACTCAAAAAAAGAGGCAACTTCTTTTTTTCTTAAATTGTTCAGATTATTTCGCACCAGCCCAAATAACAACAGCCCATGATCATTTAGTGGGCATCTGCACAGAAAGGGCATCCAGTTCTCCGAGGGTTTTAGTGGGAGTCTCAAAGTGGCACTGACTCTACCAGCTAATTCCCCGCTACAGTGCCTCAGACCTGGCAGGGTTTAGAGGACTCACTAGGACCAATTCTGGGTCATGAGGGGTAGTTAGAGACCTGGCATCTCAGAGAATCCAGTGTAGTGATCAATGGTAGTGTCTATAGAAAGGACGGGGCTATAGTGAGTGGGGTGGGCTTATAGGATAGCCACAGAGAGCGGCTGGGGGAAGTTCAGATCAACTTAGCTGGCTGTCTAGCAAGGTTCTAGATGTGTTCTGAAGCTGCCCACTCATTCAGGAATGGGATCTGCCTGCTGTCTGTCATGAGCATTTTCCTATGTTTCTCTGGCAAGGTGACGGGCGGTGGGGTGGGTCTACATCTCTCAGCTCAGTTTGTACTGTGGGGAAAGAGCGTAGTGTTTGAAAGAAAGAATTCAATAGAAGCAGGAAGAGTGTTCTAGTGCCTTCTGCACTAGAGTTGACCCAGTGCCGTTCACGGCACATGGGGGTCCCTCAACAGACGCTTGCTTGCTGGATGAAAAGGAATGAAGGGACGCATAAACCCTGCTGGTGGAACGAAGGCAGATGGATGGGTCATAGAGCAGGACCCATGGCAACCTGGGCTTGGATTACCGATTTCAGCTTTTTAGAGAATTATGGACTGTGGTAGCTTTGACGGTTCTGGTGGTGATCTGTGGAAAGGTCCCGATCTCACGGTTAGCTATCTTTTCTCTGAGGCCCCTCTCTAGCTCACACCTGACAGGAGCCACTCTGTGGCGAGATGATCCTATGTGTATCACATCCGGGTCTTTCCACATTCTGGGACCCCCAGTGGGGACAGAGAATGAGGGCTTGGGGGTAATGCAAAAGTGTCTCGCTTACTTATGCTGGAAGGGTACCAGACATTGTTACATCCCTTGTAAATATTAGTCTCTGATGCCTGTGGGTTCCAGGTTAGGTTAGTGAGTGTTCACAACACACTTTTGTGTTTTAACTCAGCCAAGGTTCAATGGCCAGGGAAAAGATGCTACTGTATCACAAGGGGGCAATCAATATGAATGAACACTTCTCTGGTGTTCAGTTTAAAAACAAACCACTGACCGAATGGACAGGTTTCCCAGGACTGCGCTTTGTTGTTGGACAGAATTAAAACAACAACAAAAAAAGTCATATATACATCCCAGGAAGCATTACCATGGAAGAGTGAGCTCTGTGCCAAGGAAGAAAACCTACTGTGGGCTGAATATTCTACTTCTCCGGGCACACAGTGGGGTCATTTGATGATTCTCTCTGGAATTGTGATTTTAAATTTGACCTCTGGAAGTTTTCCTAAGTGTGGCCACTAAGGAAGTTTGTATTCTGATGCCCCTGGCATTAATCCATGACAGTCTTTGTGTTTGGAAGATCTCCTCTGTAGGAGATGAGTATGTAGGCATGGGCCAGAGAGAAGCATCCTGTACAGAGTGTCATGATGTGATGTGTTAAGTTGTGCCTGGGTACCATGAAGCAAGACTTCAAAGAGTCCAGTTACCAGGCTTGCTAACTTCTACTTCCCTTTGTGCTGTAAGTAATCCAGTTATTCGGTGAAGTGTCAGCAGGTCAAATCTAACAGTATTGTGGCCATATTTACAATGATCTACCACAGAACACTGAGCGTGTACTAGGGGTGGAGTTTGTCTTGGACAGTCTGAGCCAGAAATAAGACAAGAGTTAGAAAGAAAAGAGGAGACACTTGTTTCTCTACGTGTACCAAATGTGGTTCCAGCTCAGTGTCGTGTTCTCAGATAAAGTGCTTCAGCGTTAGACAGAACAACTTTGGACACCGCAACTAACACAATCAACACGCGTTTACATTCCTACCAGGGCATAATATTGTGAACCCTTCCACGGAGACTGCAGAACTCTTGTATTTGTTTTTTTCTAAAACATCATGCCATCTGCACGCTTAATGAAATAAATCCAGTAGTTGCCATGCTAACACAGGACTTGTTGTGAAGGGCACAGACAGAGCCCAAGGGGAACTTGAGTTATGCACAGTGATGAGAACTGGAAGTAATTTTCCAGCTAATGGCCTGCCAATGACCACTTGGAACAAGTTGGCACTGTATGTTATGCACCTCATTTGAAAATCCATTGCAAACCAAGATGAATTTTTTATCCTCCTAAACTTCATGATCTTGACTTAATAGGCATCTTCTCAGTTAATCCAGTTAATCTGCCCGTGCTCCAAGGATCTCGTCTGGCGGTGCCAAGAGTAAGTCTTTCTCTGGGGAACAGGCCATGCGCATGCCCACTGGCCGGGCAGTGACTTGCAAGGCTACCGTGTTTATGGAGACCCCTCCGCTGAGGCTGCAAGAAGGGAAAAAGGATGGAGGGGAATATGGTTAGCGACTTCCTTTATAGTCTGACATACCAACATGTAACAATTATCTTATTTGAACAAACCCTAACACCCTTAGGTCAAAGAGAAAGGGCTAGCCGAGATGAGGGTTACTCAACTCAGGATGAATTAGTGGTGACTTGTCATGAAAGATCTTTGTACCACTTGGCAAAACACAGAAGATATCCATTTCAAGAGCCAGGTACCATTGCCTGGAGGGCAAAACTGGGTCTCTGGACTTGGATTTCAGACCCTTGAAAGGGTAGCAGGCTAGGAATCCATATCATTTTCTAGAGCTGCATGTATGTACTTGCCCTAAGGCACTATGAGTATGAGTTTGGAAATGGCGCAATACGTGTGTGTGTGTGTGTATGTGTGTGTGTGTGTGTGTATGGATGGTTTCATTCATTAGGAATTCTAATAAAATCACGAAGGAAATATTAGAAGTACTATGATTAAGAGCTCCTGAGTTTGCACATTGGATTTGGGGCTAGAAAGAAAAAGTCATTCAAATCTGCCTAGAGATTGGAACTATTTAAACTGTAGTCCTGCTTGAGACTTTTGGAATTCTGGGATAGATTTATATCCTCATTTTAACTTTGGAATTTCCCCATTATTTTATCTGGCTGTTCCACACACAGTTCTCCACGCATAGGTCCTCAATAATTCATAATTATGAGTATACCTGAATGCTTTCTCTAAGAATTCAACATTAGTTTTATTTAATCCACAAAATTATTGAGCAACAGCAGGAGTTATTGATGGAAAAGAAGTATTCCCAGATTTTTGAGTCGAGCTGGCTTTACAAACTACAAGAAGATACATAATTTGTAAGCAAATGTTTGATTAAAACTTGTTACTTATGAGAAAAATGCAAAACAAAAGGTCCTCTTGTAAGTGTATTAAATATCACACAGTAACACACACTTCTGATAAGGCCGGAATGTGAGCAGAATGTTAATACGTTGCTCGTGGCATTGTAAACGGGGAAAAATAACATCCATTTATTTAAAAATCATTAAAAATTTATATCCTCTGATCTAAGGATCCCATTCCTAGGACTGGACCCAAAGGGAAAATATGAAAAATGAAAGAAGCTCTGGGCAAAAATATGTAAGCTAGAGGTTGTTTATACTACAGGAAAAGCTGGAAAGGAGCCTATTGTCGAAAATTTAAGTTAAGCAAATCACAGAACACATTTAAGTTAAGCAAATTATAGTAAACTAATAAGATGGATCGTTAAAATCATACTAATTTTGATGATTATATAGCAACAGGATAAAGAGCTATGATATATTATAATATAGAACATAATATATGCATAAATGAATGATAAGTGAAAATGGAAAACGTGCTACTCGTGTGATTGTTGAAATACTTTGCAGAACAGTAGGGAAAATGAGGCCCACTATGTGCACACTCCTGAACAAGCTTTACTAATGCATCATGGTAGCTGACACTCACCAGTCCTATCTAGAAAAATAATACTTCATTCTTTCACACAGAGATGACACTCCACTGCCATTGAGAGGGAGCGAGAGAGAGACTAACATGGGGAAAAACATCCAGGTCACCCTATAGGGAAGCCATGCAGCCCTGAAGTACAGCGTAGATCTCACAGAGACCGACACAACACAACACAATATTCTTGAGGCGGTCATTGCAATCAGATCTGGGAGATGTATGTCCTTGGGAAAAAGCCAATGAGGTAAAATTCAAACAGAAATAATGTTAGTTACAGACTGATATGGTGCGGGAAAATTGTCTGTATTCTTTCAATCATGTATTTTAATAAAACGCCGATTGGCCAGGCAGGAAGTAGAGGCAGGTCAACCAGACAGGAAGTAGGGGCGGGACGATGAGAAAAGGAATATTCTGGGAAGCAGGAAGCTCCCTCTGCCATTCCTGCCCAGACCACCGGAGAGGAAAGATGTAAGCTGCCCCACTGGAAAAGGTACTGAGCCATGTGGCTAATGTAGATAAGGATAATGGGGTAACATAAGTTATAAGAGCTAATAAGTAGCCTGACCTAATGAGCCAATCAGCTTTATAACTTATAGAGATCTCTGTGTGATTGATTTTCTCTGGGACTTGTCAGCTGTGGGGTACCAGGCGGGAACAGATACCCCAACAAGCTGGCCCCTCATGTTACACTGATCCCGGCTGAGTTACTATACGTACACCTTTGTGTGGAAATTGCAGTTAGGTGTATCGTCCAAAGAGCTGTGTTGTCTACATGGACTTCCAAGAGCTCATGGGGGCAGATGTGTTAAATTCGTATTCATGGACAACCTTAGTCTATTATACTTAATGCTTTTAGCCTTCAGTGTTCAATATTCTTCTTAGGAATAGAAAAAGCCATTCCCATTTTACAAATAAGGAAATCAAAGCCCTGAGAGTTACTAGCCTAAGGTTACCTAGGTTCCAAGTTATTGTTAGAGATAGACAGTTCTACCCTAGTGATGGAACAGTGTGGCAGGTAGGAAATACAAAATACAAGTGCCCAGAGTCTTTCCCACTTCCCCTTTTTCTTGAGTGGGATTCTGTCTTTACCCACAAGCCCAATCAGCATAATGAAAGGCGATGGTAGGCAGGGTAGGAAATTGGAGTAGAAATTAATCTGTATCAGGATGAATACAGAGGTGTTTTGATAGACTATGAATGTAAAGGACAGTAGAGGCCACAGACACATTTTCAGGATTGACAAGGTGTTGGGATGTAACTTCATCAGCAAAATTCTTGGGAAGAGAACTAGTCAAAGGGGGAAGTACATTGGGGCATAATGGTACCTTTTACATCTTTCTGTGACATTAGGTCAACCTTCAGTGTTCGTTATTGCTTCCTGCAGTTAGTGTTGGGTGTCTTTTAGCTAAGTCGCCATGTTGTATCAGGCTCAGGGGTAATAAGAAGTCATTATTTACACAAGTTGGATAACAAAGCACTCATTTAGATTAAAGCTCGAACCTAAACTGGGTGTGATGGTGCCCACTTTTAATCCCAGCACTCCATAGGCAATCGGGTCTCTGTGAGTTCAAGGCCAGCCTGGTCTAACAAGTGAGTTGCAGGACAGCCAGGGCTACACAGAGAAGCTCTATCTCAAAAACCAAAACAAAAGGAAAAAGCAAGCAAACAAACAAACAAAAAAACTTGAACCTTAGTCTTTTTATGACGTATGTTCCACAGCGGGCTTTTCTGTCCTCACTGTAGATATTTTTTGGATGTGATAATTCTTTTGTGTCTGCGTATATATGGGTACAGGCATGCATATACCACCATGAATGTTTGGAGGTCAGAAACAAAGCCTTAATCTTCCCCTTCGACTTTCTGAGGGCGAAGCCATATCTTATTTATGTCTTGTTAAAACACTCTGCAGTATCAGATACATAGTCCGTGCTTAACATGTAGCTGTGAAATTAAGCATGGCATAATGTTGGAGAAGACGCGTTATTTGCTTGTTTAATCTAGTAATTAAGTTTCATTCTTGGATCCAACCAGATTTGATCCAGAATATGGGCTAAGTAGGGAAGTTTTGCAAATCCAGTAGTCAAGCGCATGGGTTCTGGAAGGATCTCCATTCACTTCCAAGGTCATCACTTGCCGGCTGTGTAATACAAAAACCACGACCCTTCTCAATCTTTAAAATAGGTCACATAGTCTCTACCTAAATGAGTTGCCGTGATGACAAAATGAGCTCAGAGGAAAGGCCCTTTGCGCCATGTTTAGCGAGTAAGAGATAACCGATGGGTGACAGCTTCTGTTGTTTTATGACTATCACAGGTTCCCAGAGTTTCTTTGGGAAATCAGAGATACAATTATCTCCTTGTTCAAGGGCTAGAAAAAGAAAGAAAATGCCCAGATGTCAGGCCATTGTGCCCTCTCCCCACCTGCCAGGCCATAGCCATTGTACTCTGATTCTGCTCTCTAGATTAGTGCAGACCTCAGACAGCCGCCTGATAACGGGAGTTTCTAACACTTCAAAGGCAGGAAGTGACTCCCCTGGCAGGCAACAGGCAGCCTGGCAGAGGGCTCAGGACTTAAGTGTGAAGCTTTACCTCCCTTCACCCCAGCAACAGGGGATGAAGGCTTCCCATATTTGGAGGAAAGATACTCTGTCCGATAATGCCATATCTCATGCTCTGAGAGGAGCAAATACAACTTTTCCCTTGAGAGGAGGCATTTAGAGTCTTCCATTCAGAAAGAAAGGGAAGTGTCTTTAGGAAAAAATGTATCTGTTATGGAAGTCAAGTTCGAAGTCTTCTTCGGTGTGGGCCCAAATTGCTTTCAGCCGCGTTTGGGATTTACAGCAGGTGGGAGTGAGTTGCTTAACCTAACAGTCAGTAGGCAGGTCTATGTTTACTGAGCAGGCACCACAGGCCAACTAAGATCTTACGGACAAGTGTTTGCTGCAGCTCAAGTACCATTTTGGAGGTCTTCATTGGCACATGTTCAGAGGAGGGCAGGCGCACGAATTTGTTCCCACCCTCTGGCTAGAATGCACAGGACTGAGACCAGACCCCAAATCTGATGTCACCATAAGTTGTTCCTGACTGTAATAAAGAATGCATGTTAGGAAAAGGAATTCTCTGACTGTAACAGGAACAGAAGCGAGAAAACAAGGAATTACGCCGTGTAAAGGAATCTTCACTAAACACAAACTGTGGAGTGCTGTAGAAGAGGTTTAACCCACAGAAAGCCAGTTCATTTCTCTTTTAACAGTGTTCGGCCTTTCACAGTATGGCTGAGTGGCTCTCAGATGAGTACAGTTCTGCCCCAGGGCAGACAATTGGCACTGTCTGCAAGACATTTCTGGTTGCCACTCATGGCGGTTACTACCAGCACCCAGTGAGTCGGGGTCAAGACACCACTAAACACTTAGGAATGTGTGGGAGAGCGCCCCAACAAAGACTCCTCCAGCCTGAAATGTCAAATGTGCTGAGGTTGGTTCGGCAGACACGGAGCTCTGCTTATTTTTTATTCTTGGTTGTGAGCCAAATATATCACTTTCAAAATAGGTCAAGATAAAAACCAACCTAAGTGGGCCTCTTCTCTGCGCGGGCAATAAGGCTAATTTCCAACCTCACTCCTCTCTTCTAGTCATCATTTTCTCATTTTTTATTTGATTTTATATTCAGTGCAATCAAAACCTTTAAAGCCAAATCACTTCTAACTTCTAGAACCCTCACAGGCATGCCATTATAAGAATCAAGATCGGATGATTTAGGCAGGTAGGCGCGATTAATTAATTAGTATGCAGGCAAGAAGTTAGAAGAGGAGGACAAGGGATGGCTTAGGGGGCTAGAAAACTAAGCTTTGCGATTAGGGCTTCTGGTAGGAGAAACCATATGTGGTTTTGGTGGTACTGATGCGATTTCTATCACTCCTTGTCCCCCATAGACTGAAGAGGGTATCTTCTCACCGAGAACGTGATTAAGGAATCGATTTTACTCTCTGGTTGTATGAAGATGGAGGTCAGCGTCTCTAACAGGCTGGTGTCAGAATGGCAGAGAACTTGCATGAAGAGGAACAATAAAGTTGGTGATATATATAGACACTAGCCTGTATCTTCTCACACGGCCTAGAAACGTGGAAAGCATCATGCTGTGGAGATGAAGATATTTGTGTGAGAGACCAATGTTTGAGTTGGAAGGTTGGGCAAAGCTAAAGGCCCTCCGTAATGGGGGTAGGCCTCAGATTTGATTTTTTTTTCTTTTTTTTTTCGAGACAGGGTTTCTCTGTGGCTTTGGAGCCTGTCCTGGAACTAGCTCTTGTAGACCAGGCTGGCCTCGAACTCACAGAGATCCGCCTGCCTCTGCCTCCCGAGTGCTGGGGATTAAAGGCGTGAGCCACCACTGCTCGGCTAGGCCTCAGATTTGAATAGACGAAGGATTAAGTAATGGGTCATTCATGCTTTCTGTTGTTTGCTGCTAGGACATTGGTCCTATACTCTTAGCTTTCAAGCTTGTAAATCATGAGACTTCTTTTTCCATAATTAAGTGAGCCCGTTCCTACACTAAGTCTGTCTTATATATGTGTTTGTATATTTATAAACACATACGTGTGCATATATATGGATGATCTATGTCATCGATCATTTCTGTTTCCATGGAGATCTCTGAGTAATACAGTTAATGAACATCATGACGGTTAACAGTAAACAGTAGCATTAGCCAAGTACTCACCAAGTGCCTAGTATCAGACTCAAGAACCTCCATCTGTTTTGCAGCACCAGGTAAGTGGGCACACTAGCTCCACTCCACAGATGAAAAACATCTTAAAGAAACAAATGGCCTAGGACAGGCTGTGGCCGTTGCTGCATACATGCTAAGGTGCTTGTTTATTCTAGAACTAGTAAGTAGGAAATACACTTACATAGGAGGAAAGGACTTTGTTGACGTCTCTCATCCCCTGGTCCCATAGTTTCTATTTTCCTATAGAATGTGGTTGACTCCTTGCACGGTAAGAGGAGGGAGGGGTTCTGTTGCCCGACTCTGCAGTTCTCACAGCCTCTAGGGAGTTCCGAAGGGTTCAGAACGGAGGGAAGGCTCCTGTATTTGAAACTACCGAGAAGGAAAGAATGTGTTGTTTGAGAGCCGAGATTTCTCCTCTTTTCCTCAGTTCTGGGCAGGAGGGCCAGTGGGTGAGCAAGGCAGGGTGGGAAGAACTTGCTCACTTACTCTAGTATTACACGCAGAACTGTTACTCGGTTCTATGGGCCTGAGAAATCATTGTAAGCTTAGCCAGTCCTAGTTACCTGGCTTTGATTACTCTGTGTACACATGAGGTTACTACAGTGTATCCCATAAATATATAAAGTTACTATGTGTCAATAAAAGTTTATTGTATGCATTTTTACAAATTTTAAAAGCTCTCTCTTGCTCTTTACCCACGAAGTGTGTGTGTGTGTGTGTGTGTGTGTGTTTATGAGAAAGAGAGAGAGAGAGAGAGAGAGAGAGAGAGAGAGAGACTGTGTTCATGTGTTAGTACACACCAGCTGTATTGTGTGAGACTAGATGAGAGGTCTTTGCCTTCCACCTTGCCTGAGACAGACTTCTTGTAGCACACGGCTACCTAGGCCAGGCTAGCTCGCAAACTTCTTGGGTCTCTCCCTTCTATGTTTCCCACATTGACATAGTAGCCCTGGAATTACAGCTGTGGACACATCACATCTGGCTTTGCCTGGATTCTGGCCCTTGTGCTGCAGCAGCAAATACTTTTCTCCTCGCTCCATTGCCTTTGCCTCTACATGTAAAAGCCTGACTATGGGAAACAAACCTAAAGCAAACCTTCCAGAAATAAACTCTGATTCACGCAGGTTAAATTGCGTTTCCAGCTTCCGGGGTTTCAAAGCTGACATATGCACCGCAGGTGTATAGCATGCCTGCGCGAGACTCACCTGAGGGAGCTTCTCCGAGTTTTTGCTTTGTCTTGCTCTCTCCCCCTGTCGTGGATCAGAATGTCCAGCGGGGAGATTGAAAAGCTATATGTTTAACAAGAGGAGCAGTGATGCTCATGAAGTCGGCTTGGCAGCCGTCCACGAAAACACCCACGTCTTTCCCCCAGTATTTAAATAGTAGTTATTTGTCCTTCAGACAGAGAAAAGTGGTATCGACTGTGGGAAAATGTGGTTTGTAGCCTTGCACTTTTCACATAACAAAATAACCAGAATCCTGGATATAATACAAGGCAGTGATCCAGTGCTGGGTTGCAGAGTAGGGCAGGCAGGGGAGGCTTGGAGACCTGCACAAGCTATCTAACTTACGCAAGGTTCCAGGGACCTGAGCATGTCCTGGCCTTCCAGTAGTTTATGCTTCCTGTAGGCTTCTGCATACACATATTCCCCTGGACACTGGCTGAAGTGTCCCACAGTGCTTTGAGGGGGCAGGGCTGGAGGGGTTGCAAATTCCTATGCTGAAACTCTATTAGAACCTGCTTTGTCCTGTACCAGCATCACTTGACGGTATATCTGTCTTCAGGCTAGTACTTCATGGTGCTCCGAAGTGTTCCAGGGAGCTCAAGACATTGCTCTGAGCTCCAAATGGGAGGAATTAGGTCCATTCCTTTTAGAGCTGGACCATAGATTTGAATTTCTGACCATGTTGCCAGGAATGGAAGTGTTTATAGCAGTTCTGGAAATTGCTATGAACCTCAAGTTCCTTGAGGGAAGAGGTATGTCTCACTCTTCTCGTCCTGTGCTCTGGCCATGGCGGGGTGCGGGGGCATCAAAGTTGTTCTTAACATGTTTGTGGAATGAGAGAATGGACATGCAAATGAACATGTGAAGACAGCTATGCGAGCAAAGTTAGCAGCTCCTTCCTGTTTTTTAAAGAGAACTGGAGTAGAGATTTCAGTATATGGAGTAAGGTCTATGAGCATCTAGGGTGTCCATTGCCTTAAGTCTTTAGGAATCATTTGCCCTGGAAACCAGCAAGATTCCCCTCTGCTGTATAACTAACATGAACCAGATACCAGCTGACAGCAGTGGACGATTCCCTTGTACCACACAAATACGAAATGATGCATTTTGGGGAGAAAGGATCATCCGGCCAGCTGCTCTCTGCAGGGATGCATTTGTACAGCCAATTAGTCTGCGGTAACCCCAGTGACTCCATCCTTTACACTGGATAGATGCAAGTGGCTCAAGTCATTACATTCTGAGAGCTGTTCTAAGAACCCCAACATCCTTTCAGAGGAAAACGCAGTCCACTGGCACAAGCAATAATGAATCAAAGAGAGCACAGCCATGTACCTTGAAGTTTGGTCCCCTCTGCCACTAAACTTCCCCCACTTCTCTACAGCACCAGTCAGCTGACTGAGAACATTCCAAAAGATTATTTTCTAGTTTCTCTCATTGCTTCTGGACCCCAGCTTACTCCATCCCAGAGCACGGAACCCTGCTTGCCTGTCTGTCAACTGTATGAACAAACCTGCCTTTTCTTTCTTCCTGCTTGCTTCTTTATTCATCCATCCATTCTTGGCCTATTTGCACTATTTAGCATTATTCAATCTCAAGAGCTTCTTCCAAGCTGTTGGGCCAATCCAACAGCTTCTTCCATGGAAGAGTATTCGTACCTAAGATTCTCTTCTTTAGAAAAGGAACAAAAAAAAATCTCCAGTTTTTCAAGAGAAAAGAGGAAAACACTCTTCTGCAGGAGTCTACCAGGTACACTTGGTGTTTCTTCTTTTCAAGGCCTAGTGTCAAGGGAGCTAGAAGAATCTCTCCATGAGACACTGCACAATCAAAGTGACAGCAAATGAGGAACATGGGCACACACTCTTGGAGCAGAGGGCACCTCAGGACGTGATTCTTAACTTTCAGTGTATGATGAACCACAGGACAGCATACCGTTGATTCTGCAGTTCACTAGTGGCCACGAGGACACGGGCCACCCTCTGAGCAGCAAGGGCAGGGGGCTCCGAACTACTGTAGCACTGGACACTTCCGATTTTTGCAGTGATGGATGTGTCCTAACGGTTCTAATACAGTAGCCATTAGCTGCCTGTGTTCACTGGGCACTTGAATCATGAAGAGTGCATGAAACACCTCTTCTGTGGCTATGGTGGTGGAGTTGGGTGTAGTACGTTTGATAAGTGTAAGTGTATGCAGGTGCATGGCTCCATGCACGTGTGTGGAGGTCACGTGAGGTCTCCTACTTTAGTACCCTCCATTATATTTCCTTAAGTTCAGAAAGTATCTCACTGAATCTGGGGCTCACCAGCTAAACTGGCTGTCCAGACAGCTTCAGAGATCTGCCTGTGTCCTCTTAGCAGGGCACTGGGGATACAGGCAGGTGCACTGCCATACCTGTCTTTTTATGGGGGTGCTGGGACTTGAACTCACATCCTTGTGCTTGACAGCAAGTTCTCTTAGCCTTCTGAACCATCTCTCCAGCCCATGGAAATTACTTTTAGCTTTAACTTTACTTCCCGAATGCTTACATGTCCGTGTGTTTCAAGTGGCTGCATCACTGTAGAATTGAACTGAGACAGGGATTGAGCAAGATGGCCCCAGAAAAGAGTCACCCAGCAAGGGGAACTCCCTATGTTGTCACCCATATTATAAATTTGTTCTTGTCCACACCTGCCTTCTTCCTGTTCTCTCCAGTATGGCTCAAGGCTTCCCCTCTGCCTTTGTACAAGTTCCCAGAATCGCTGTATATACAAAATGGTCATTAAGGAGAACTCTATAAACATTCCGAGTGCAGAAGATTATCTTGTTTACTCAAACCTCCTGGACTTGGCAAAACCAAGCAAGAAACCTTAGGAGGAATGGATCATTTGTTATGAGCTGTTGCACCTTGGAGTCTGTCTGGCAGGATTCTGAAATCAGGATCCAAGGTCACAGTGCTGTGGGTTTTGGTCCTTGGGTCCGGACACAAGTGACAGATGCATGCAGTGGAGGAAGACAAGAATAGAAAAAAAAAAGAAAAAAAAGAAAAGAAAAGAAAGGAAGGAAGAAAGAGAAGAGAAGAAAAGAAAGAGCACTCAGTACAAACCAAGTTCTCCCCAAATGAGAACACACTGAGGGTGGGGAAAGGGTTGGGCTTGCTCTGTCTAAACGGGAGTCAGCAGGTTACAGTCTGTGTTACAGTTAACGAGATTTGGAGATGTTCCCCGCGCTAGTGAGTACTAATTTCCATTGAGGAAAAAGTTATGAGGCTTGGATGTCTTAATGATAACAGATAATTTCTCTGTGTGGGCAGAGCTACAAAGTGTGTTGCTATGGAACTGTGTGGATTGGGCACTTTCCTTTGTGTACACAGTTTCCCCCTCCGAGAATCTGCTTGGCATGAGATACAAACCTGCTTGGGGACTCTGGTGATTAATTGCTTGAACTGGCTGGTGGCCATCAGCAGGACCGTGCAATTTACCAGTTTCCACGTGGAATTATGAAGATGAAGGTTTAATGGGATTTCAGGTAATAGAGCCCAGATGTCCCAAAGTAGGATGTTCAAGATTTCACCGATTTGTAAGGCTGTGGAGTTTAAGCATTATTTATTTCTTGCTTAGATGTCCCTCTCCCATCTTTACGCAATCTTGGATCAGTCAAATGCAAAGGTCTTCACCTTGACATACTGCATCCAGAGAAGCCATACCTGTGCACACACCTGCAGTCAACAGTTCAGATACAAGCTTCCTGCCTTGTGGTCCAGGCTCTTGAGGTCAGTTTTTTTTTTTTTTTTTTTTTTTTTGCTAAGGATATGGCAGTTAGCAGCCCTTGTCCCACCTTGCTGTGCAGCGCTCAACTTCCAAATTGCTTTCACACATTTAATTGCCTTCCAGTCTGTCAGGGTCCAAAGGAAATGGGCTGGGACTAGTATTATTATCTCTCTGTTTTGATGAGGGAACCAGGGGGCACAGAAGAGCAGGGATAATAACAACTCAACGTTTGTGTCATACTGTCATGCAAAAAGTGCTGTATCAGTGGGGTTCATGGGAGTCTGCTCTTTGAAACCTCATCATAGCTTGGTGGTTGATATGATTATCGGCTCCACTTTGGAGCAGAAATACTCTAGTACAGAGAAGACGGGACAAACAACCACTCATTGATGGAGCCCATGTAGAGTGGTCCATGGTATTCCGGAACCACCTACTATGCACTTTGTTTCTTCCACGGAAATGTTCTCAGCATTGCCGACAAGATCTGGAGCTCATTGTTAACATAGTGTTCTTTTTGAAAAAAGATTTATTTTTTTTTATTTTCCATATGTGTGTATGTGTTTATTTATGTGTGGGTATATGTACGTGAGTGCAGTACCAGCAAAGGCCAGAAGAGGGTGTTGGAGTCCTTAGCACTGGTGCTCCAGGTGGTTGCTGGGAACGGAGCAGGAAGAACAGTATGCGCTCTTAGTGACTGACCCGTCTTC